GCGCGAAGGCCGAGGTAATTCCCCCCTTCAGTACCGGCCAAGGATCTCTGTTTGACAGTCAACATAGGAACATCTCGTCAATTTACCGCCCTTATCCAAGCCAGTCACAACTGTATTCTGGTGGCCGAGTCAGGGATCTTCAAAAGCTTACCGCAAGGAGAGTCCGGAGGACTACATAGAAAAGCTCAGCTTGTCACGAAAGCCCGCTCTGAAGGCTTTCCTTCCTCGCTTCTTTATTGCACTCGACGCCATGCCCAATGTCCATACATTTGTGTCGTGTCCCATGCCAGGCGATCACACGGTCCAAAAGGACCGGGAGAGTTACCCCCTAACAGCCCAACTGTACCAGAGGGGGCTCGGCTGGAAACCGGAGCATACGAACGATGGGTTTTTCTACTTCCTGCTCCCGGCAATGCGTCGTCCCGGAGCCAAAATCGAGCGTCTAGCATACGCGGATGAGGGAATGAAGTCCTCTGTTTCGCGTCTCAGAGCGTCTGACTTACTTTCCTTCATGTCGCTGACACATATTGACGTCTGCCTCGGACATGGCGAGGGCGAAGAGCACGAGCTGGATGACCTTCACGCCTGTCTTCGCGCCGCCCAAAATCTCGTCGACCTGAGATTTTGCGCCGAGAAGACCCAGAAACGGGTACCTCGCCCTGCGGCAGCTCAAGAGGCCCTCAAAAGTCTATTTCGTACGGGGGGAGGGGGGGAACAGATGTGGCCACATCTTAGGAGGCTTGAGTTTACCGAATTTGGAGTTGCAACTCGAGGTCGTGTTAGGGACATGGTGAAGATCGTCAAAGCACACGCATCCACCCTACGGCACCTCTCATTCCACCAGTGTGAGGTCAACCGCCGCCTCATTGAAGGTATGGCCGAAATACCGTTGCAACTGGACTCTCTGCAAGTCGTCAACAAGTCCAGCCTGAGTGCGCGAATCGTGCCGAAGTCTGAGCTGCTTGCCTATGTCAACGGGACGGGCCCTCGTCCTTCGATCCTCGGCAAAGATACCAGCTGGAACACGGAGATCATGATCTTCGATCTCCAGCACATGCCCACGGCTGCTCTGTACGACGCCTCGACGCCGCGCGAGACTGTCTATTCGAAAGAGGACATGGCGGACGTGCTTGACCAGCACCATCCGGACAATCGAGGCATGATCCGCGCGTATCAAAGTCTCTGGGCGAAAGAAAAGCTCGCGAAGCTCTCGAAGCTGAACCTGGCGAAGGCTACCAACGTCGTGGCGGGCGGCTCCAGCCACTTCGCTGATGCCACCGAAAGCCCCAACATATCGAAATGGCTCTTCAGGCATCCTAACGGACAGGAGGCCGTAGGCGACGAACCGCTGGATTTCTTCAGCGACTGGGAAGATAGCTGCGACGAGGGCTACACGGGCGCTGATGAAGAAATTGCGGATGCGCCTGCAGAGGACCACGATGACGGATCCCCAGATGATTGGGATGGTTCCGCTGGTGAAGAGGAGGAACCCGAGGTGGATCAAACAGACGCAGCCGTGGACAGCGAAGGAAATGAGAAAATGGCCGATGCTGATCAGAACGACAGTGACGAAGGCGACGCTGATGAGCGGGATCAGAGCGACGACAGCGAGTTTGAGGCGGAGAACCTCATAGCTAGGATGGAAGCTCCTGTCGCCATGCTTCAGAGGCGGTATTTGGCGATTCCTCTGATCGATGTCGGAGGCGCCGATTAGACTCGAGATGAGGCACTGTGAGGCGGATTCTTATCAACTTTAGCTAGCAGGCAGGTCTATGCTCGCGTTGATTACCTTGATGCATGGCCGCCTTTTTTTGGATTAAACAAAATGCCAAGAAACCTGTTTTGCGAACAATCCACCTTCAACCTTCTTCCACAAGTTGCCGACACGGTCGCCGGTCTTATCAGACGTCTATGCCCTGGAAGACAGATCTGACATGGCCGGGATACTCCCGCAGCATCCCTCAAGGCTGATGTCGCGGTATGACGTCGCCGGCAGAAGGGTAACATAACCTGGCAGTTCAATCGCTGGCTTCAGCAGAACCTCCAATATTACTTGAGAAGCCTCAAGTCGTCTTCCTTCTGTCGCGTTCTTCTTTGTTGATTATCCTCCGGTCCCTACTGCCGCGTAGTTCTAGCTATTGCGCCACTGGGGGCTGTGGGAATCTCGACAACTTCACTGGGCAGGACTGGCTCCGTCACCTGTTTCTGCTGCTGAAGGATTAGGAGGCTTGGCAGCACCTCGAGCTCAGCAAGCAACCACACACATCGGTGCCTCGGACCCTCGTCTAAGCTGCGAGTGCGCCGTCTCTTACGCCATTGGACCCTGCGCAATCCGATAGCTTGCAGCTGATTCCGGTCATATCAGGCGCTGAGACGCATCCCACTTCAGCTCTCTTCTTGCTATATACCCGAGGCATCTTCTGTCAGTTGCCATTGAGACATTGCTCCTTATCCTCTATCTTCAACTGTACACACAATGGCCTCAACACAAGAAGGCAACCACGCACTTTCGGCCCCGGCGCCAGTCCTCGACGCCGCCCCTCCCCCGCCATCCGAGCCGCAGCCGCAACAAGTCATGCCACCAACCCCTCCCCACAGTCCGCGGGGAGAAAGGCCCCCGCTCAGACCGCAATCATCCCAAGCGAGCCACCGCTCAAACCACAGGCGAGAATACCTCGACTCCCTCCCCATCCCCTCAAGCGAAGAAATAGCCCACATCTCCAGCGTGCAAGCCGACCGCGAAGCCGAGCTCAAGCGCCGCTCCCGCGAGCTGCACCGCAAGTCGGCGCAAGATGTCTCCTCCCCCTCCACACCTTCCTCCCCTCCTCCACCGAGTAGTTCCCGCGGAGGAGGGGCGGGACACGGCAGGTATAGCAGCCTGTCTACGTTTTTCAGCCACAGGAGGGAGGGGAGCAAAGCGCAGGAGCAGCAGAAAGAGGAAGACTCCACGCGAGCCCGTGCCGCGGCCGTCATCCAGCGCACGTACCGGGGCTATCGGGTCCGGCGCGAGATGAAAGGGCTGGGCATCGATGCGTCGACGCGGTGGGTGCATGCTATTCGCGAGGCGCAGTTTAGGGACCTCAATAGACCGAGGGCTAGGGGGGTGGGTTTCTCCGATGAGGAGGATGGCGGTGAACCTGGTGTTGTAGGGAGGGGGTCGCTTGATGGTGCGAGAAGCGGGATGGGTAGCCGGACGACAACGGCGGCGAGGCTGAACTGGAAGAAGGCCGGTATCATTGCCCGGCGGGCTGGTAATGATGCGGACGAGCCTGGTGAGTCCGACTCCACCTCTTCGTCTTCTGAATCCTCGGTTGCGTCGGATCGGAGCCGCACGTCACAGGAAAAAGAAGCGGCTAGGAAAAAGAGAGAAGAGGCCAAGGAGAAGAGGAAGAAGGACGCCCAAATGATGGGCCTTCAGTACTTTTTAGAGATGGTTGATCTCAAGCACCGCTACGGCGCCAACTTACGCATATACCACGAGGAGTGGAAAAAGGCCGACACGAACGAGAACTTCTTCTACTGGTTGGACTACGGAGAAGGACGCTTCATCGACACCGAGGCCTGCCCGCGGGAGCGACTCGACCGTGAGTGCGTGCGCTACCTGTCTCGGGAAGAGAGACAGCACTACCTCGTCAGTGTCGACAGCGAAGGGCGCCTCTGCTGGGCCAAGAACGGCGCGCGCATTGACACCACAGAGAAATGGAAGGACAGCATACACGGCATCGTCCCCGCGGACGACCCCACGCCCGCGTATACACCCCTGGGAGAGGTCAACGAGCGCGGGGCCCGACTGTTCGGCGACTCAAGCACAGGCGAGAGCTCATCCTCCTCCTCCTCCTCCTCCTCCGAGGACGAGCACCATCCCCACCACCACCGCCCCTTGGAAGCAGAAACCGAAGCAGCCCAAGCAGCCAAGTACGCGACCGCGAGCCTCGACCACGCCAAGGGCGTCAAGAAAGTAACGCACATGTCCGCCTCGACCATCTTCAACAAGCTCCTCCGCAAGTCGGTCAGGAAGAACACGTGGATCTTCGTGGCCGACACGAGCTTCCGCCTCTACGTGGGCATCAAGAACAGCGGCGCCTTCCAGCACAGCTCCTTCCTGCAGGGGAGCCGCATCTCCGCCGCCGGCTTAATCAAGATCAAAAACGGGCGGCTCGCCTCCCTCTCCCCCCTCAGCGGGCACTACCGCCCGCCCGCGTCCAACTTCCGCGCCTTCGTCAAGAGTCTGAAGGAGGAGGGGGTCGACATGAGCCACGTGTCCATCTCGAAGAGCTACGCCGTGCTTGTCGGGCTCGAGGCGTACGTCAAGACGCGGAAGAAGGGGAAGGATATGCTGAAAAGGATGGCGCATCGGAAGGACAGGATCGTGGCGCCCGAGGAGCTGAGGAGGAGGGAGGAGGAGGAGAAGGACAAGAGCCAGAGCGCGGCGAAGGAGAGGCAGGTCTTGGAGGACGAGGAGGCGAGGAGGGATGAGAATGGCGTGCATGTGAAGATCATGCAGAAATTGCATATACAGCCTGGTGAGGCTGGGGGGCAGGGCGGGGTCGAGAGGGATACGAGGGGGGAGACAGTTGGTGCCGTTAGGGGGGATGGGAAGGAGGGGCCTGAGGATGCCTTGTAGTGCATTGGCCTGGAGGAGGATATTGCATGACTGGATGGATGTTGCTGTGTTGATTCAGCTGGTTGACTTCTATACCCACTGATGTCCCTGTCTGGCTTCACGAGGACACGCCTAATGCTATGATAATGGTACGCCTGGTCCGTCGTTTGAGATCCCTGTGGGAGCTCGTTCTGGATGCTTGCCTCTTCGAGTCTGCAGCCATCGACACCCAGAAGACACCGAGCAGATCTGTCTATGTGTATGCGGCCGTCTTGGGTCACTGAATACATGATGTCTGCATCACCAGCGCAACCATGTGGAGGGTCTGTGGAGGTCTCCTAGTCCAAGTCCCCATAGCCTGCAACACTGACTCAATGGCCAAGTAACAAATCAGGTCGGTTGTATGGTGTAGAGGTTAGCACTCCAGATTCTGATACTACAGAAATCTTCTGGCGACCCCGGTTCGAGTCCGGGTACGACCTTGATATCTTCCGTTTCTTTTTACCATTTTTGAACCCGGTCGGGATAGCAAAACACTGTGTTCATGCCTCCAACTCGTCAGAGCTCGTGTCGTTGGGAGAGGGCTTGGCGAGCAGAATTTTGCTATATTCACCCCACATGCTCACCCTCATCCCCACAGCGGTGACCAGCACGTAAAAAAAAAATATCTGGCAAAAAAGGGCTGGCCTTCGAAAGAAAGCCATGTCAAATTTCTCGGATACGGGGAGTCGAACCCCGGGCTGATGAGTGAGAGTCATCGATGTTACCGCTACACCATACCCGATGAGGATCGAATGTGGTTCCGATTTGTGATGTTGGTGTTGGCCGCTAATGAAAATTATGCGGACGACTGACACGTCGAAGGGTTTTTGTCCGCCAAGGCACCAAGGTGTACGAATATTAGACAGACTCTTTGCAGGCAAGTGAAGTGCCAGCTATCTGAGCATCAGCTTCTGGAGCGACGGGCGTGAAGATTGAGGCAGCATGCTTGGTCGGTCTTGTGACACAGTAAAGTCAGCTCCAGCGGCAGAGATACCTCGTACGAATGCCAATAACAAGCGACATGCGAACCATCAAGGTGCCCAACATAGGTGTTGGCGGACAGGATAGTACACGGCGACAAGACAAGGCCAAAGTCAGACATTCAGTATCCCGTCGTCGGTCTGGATTTTAACCGGCAAGCCGCTCAGCTCAGCAGTTGCAGTAAGGGTCGGCACGCAAGATTCACGAAATGACGCCACTTGGACGGGATGGGATGCCATTCACAAAGGAACGATTGCGATGTGATATGATCACGGGTCGATATAGCCTGCAAGTGTGTTGTGGGAGGGTGCCAGGACATCCATGTGTCGGCATCCAACCAACTCTGGTCGCTTGATGCGGTTCGTGGGTTGAATTGCATGATAACGACAGCATGTCCCATTGGTACATCGTTCGCAAGACGCAAGAAGGGACGACTGACCTGAGGCTTGCATACCTTATTACATACCACAGTAAAAGAGATATCCCTTTATAGTTTGCGCGAGTTTTATCGATCGGGAATCGACATTCTTCGTCCGCTTCGACAATGGCCACAAGATGGGCACCAGTGCCGTGTGAGATTTTCGAGAGCAGGGCCAAGGAGGCGTTGGTCCGAGGTCGGAGCTCATCTCCCTTGGCGGGTGACCGATCTCTTCCCCGTCTGAGCGAACGATGGCACTGTAATTGCTATGTCATGGTCTGTTCGACGCCGGCAGGCATGGTGGTTGAGTGGTAGCAATGTAGAGTTATGCAGGTGGGTGTAATAGAGGGTGTGGTTCTTGCAGGGAAACCACTCCAGGGCGTGAACTTGGCCCTGTAAGAAAGAGAGCCGGAGATCGAAACAGCGGTCGTTGATCCCAAAGCCAAGAGAGGCCCAAGGAGGGTACGTGAGGGGCCGGTACGTCTATTCCATATTGATGGTCACGGGGGGATGAAGAGGCCTCGTGGGATCTTTATGTAGCAGGATAGGATGGGAGAAGCGAGAAATTGTTAGTAGATCCAGCAGGAACTCGAGCTGGACACGAGGCGCATTTAGAGCGGCCATGCACGACTTCGTATACCTATCATCTTGGATCATGCCTTTCGTCGAGCGGGAAGTCAGTGATAGTTCATGTCAGGGGCATATTGCAATGAAATCTCGATCGCCGGTTCACTTGGCCGGACCCCGCTTGGAGATATTGAAGCTTTGGACTAGTCACATGAGGAGAAAGACTTTGGCCAGAACTATCTGTTACGTCTCAATCCCCAGGCGAGCACTTCCGTCAGCGCCGTGGCACGTTGCTCACGAGATAACACATCGGCGGACGAGAGACATACTTCCCGCCGCAGCACTGAAACAGCTCCTGCGATGTAGAGTGCCGTGATGCCGTGATGCCGTGTTGCCACGGTCGCTCAGTGTCTTGGATGCTAGTGCACGGCGCGGCTCGTGCTCATTTTGGCCGGCTGTTGGGGCCGGCCGCAGCGGGGTTGATCTACGACCACGATGCAGGTGGTGCGAGATGCTTTCCGGCTGTTGCCGCATGACTTGTGATAGGCGGCAGCTCGACCACGGACGGCGGAGAGACATGTTCTTGCCATCCGTAACATGGCAACACACAAGCCGTTGAAGACGCGAACCGGAGTGTCTTAGAAGGGTGAATCTCCGATGGCTGGACGTGGCGTTTCGAAGCGTGGGAACCACGATGCTCGAGGCATGATCTTCTCCGAGGCACAACTGCAGAGGATGCATCATGCGCATACAGTGGTGCAGGAGAGATGTGTACAGTGTGTGTGGAGTGAGCCCAAAAGCTCGTGGTTGGCAGCCGGTCTCGTGAGCGAAAGAGAACGTTAGGAAAACCGTTCAACGTCCGGAGATGTCGGTACTTCAGACGCGTGTACTGTCCATACCTTATGACGGAAGCCCTTCTTTCAGCCATTGTGAGTCGATGAGCACAAGTTGAGGGCCCCCTCGATATCTCTCGGCCTCCAAATACTGGTTATGAATTGCGCCTCTGTTGTTGCGTTTCGCCAACAACGCGATGAACCAGTTCCCAATGCCGATCCGAGACCCGTGGTGTGATTCTCCAGATAAGGCGGTTTCGCTTACAGGTTCGGTGAGACAAGGGTCAAGATGCAAGACGGCAGTCCTCAACCAACGGTTCAACTGTTGCTTGTCTGTCGACTGTAGGCGATGAACTCGTCCAAAATTCTGAGGCTGTGATGACTTGACCAAGTCTTGGACCAAGGCTGCCGAGGCGGACGGCATAGCCTCGAAGGCGTACGTGTTTGAAGACGTCCATTGTCAGGTTTTGTTTCATGCCAACCCCGGGGATACACTCTGCATTTGGTGTCCACCTCAAGAAAGATGTTGTAGAGTCTGGACTCTAGTTGATGTACCGGGTGGTGCAAGAGATCGTCGCCAACCGTGAATTTGTTGCTCGCGTTGCTCCATCACGTTATGCTTGCTGAGTTTGGTCTGCAGCTTCGGCCAAGGAAGTTTGTGGTCGTCCGAACAACCTCAACGCGGAGTGGAGGAGAAAAATGGAGATGCTGGAGATGAAGCTTCAGTGCGAGACTCCATATCGCGGACTAGTGACGCTGGTAGTGCCCGCTATTTAAAGGCTGGCCGCAGAGGCATTCCGAATTGCTTGAGACCCTCAGGAGCCCAGGACCCTGAAGGGAATAGTGCGCCGTCTCTCACGTCTCCCTGCAATGTCACTTCGCATGCAAATTTAACTGAGTGGGTACTTGCGCGGTTGACTTGTGTCTTGGCGCCATGCACAGTCCCACTTCGTATCTGACTCCCTGTGATGAGGGTGAGGCTCAACAATGAAACAAAAAACATGGTCAAAGCAAAGGGACAGGCCTGGCTGGCCTTGAAGGCCTCGAGCACCAACGACCGTGGTGATCAAACCTGTAGACTTACAGCAGTTAAGAGATGCAGTGGAATGCCTGGCGGGTATTAAGCAGCGCCTGGCGACCAACAGGAAGCTACCAACTGGTGGGCAGTGTGCTCCTGTTGACGTTGTGCGCACAGAGATTGGAGCCAGAGATATCGGCTCGATACTGGCGGCCTGGCCAGTCAGGGGGAGATAGCCGTAACGGTTCCATGGCTTCTCCTTTTTGTTGGTTACGCCGAACCGTGGATCTGGTCCGAGAGACGCAGCCTGTGTCTGTGCTGCTCTCTGACATGCAACTTCGTACAAAGCAGATGGAGAGATGATCGACGAACAAATGGGCGAAAGATTGGACGGCCAAATCATGCCAGATCACGGCATTGATGACTCCTATTTTCTCAGAGTCACATGGCGCGAAGATGTCTGCAGCTCTTATCCCTCTGTCGAGGAATGACAGTCGAGGAATGGCAGTCACGACGTGAATAAAACGGAGCTGCAGTAAGTGGGGCCCCCGGTACTTGTACCTTTTGTAACTCCACGCGAAAAGCTACCATGGTGGACCTCCCGCCCTTAACCGACATCCACTCCTCGACACTCTCCCGATGTCTAGACTCGCTTGTGTCACAGCATCAGGAGATGACAGAGACTTCGACGAGACAATGGTCCTAATGACGGGTCTACTAGTAGCACCACATGTCAAAGGACATGCTCAAAGCTCCCTTCTATCTGCTCAGTTGGCCGGCAAGGGAGAGGTGTCGAGGAAAAGTCGACCGTTGAGAGTAAATTTTGAAGATTCTCAGCAATGAATGGATGAAGGATTTCAGAGAGAAAAAGGTGCTGCAGCCCGCTGATGATCCCTGTCAGAAAACGCTTGAACCCCTGCTGCCGTCATTTCACCGGTCCACTCGTTTGAAGAGCACAGGCCAGTGCCGGGAGTCTGACCCAGCAACAGTGGGGCATTTGGAGCTCTGACAGGGTGGTACATGTTCCCTTGTACCGCTTTGGCGCTCTGCGACTTCACTTTCGCGCTGCCATTTGACCTGGTTTGTATGAAGGGGCCGGTGACCCAAGCCATCAGCCAGCCAGTTGACACACGAGGAAAGGACGAGAGAGACACCAGGGAAAAGCAGGGACCACGCCAGACCCAAAGAAGGACCGTCGTGGAAACGGAGAGAATCAAATAAGTAGCCGTCCCCCCAAATATTCATCACGAGCCCTTCTCCCTCTCTCTTCTCTCACCCAACACCTACAATATCCTAAAAGGTACTTCTGCCTTAATTTCCTCCAGATATACCCCAACAGTTCTCGTTTCTCTGATACCCTACCCTAGAATCACAGAGTGATCCGCAAGTTTCTTTGCCTTTGCATATCTGTTTTTTTTTTGTTTGAGAAACCCAATACCCCTTTTACTTTTTTTATCCACAACATCATCATAATGGCCGACGTACAGAAGCCCGTGGAGGTCACTCCTGCTGCTGTTCCCGTTGTTGAGCCCGTAACCGAGACCAAGATCGAGGAGACACCCGCTGCCACAACTGAGGCTGCGCTCGTAACTGAGACCACCCCTGCACAGGCTGCCGAGGCCA